AAGTTATTTTTTAAGATAAGGAATTGTGAAATGCCCCATGTGTGTTCTATACATATCAAGCACGTTTATCAGTGTGGATGGCGTGCTCCGATTGCACTCCTACGGCATCCCACAGGGTAGCCACTTGACGCCGCACCGCATGCAGTTCTCCAAGCTTCCGGGATTCGGACCTTGTACCATTCCACGAACCGCCTTCGATGCGCACAGGAGTTGTGAACGTGCCTCCCTTTTCTTCGGTTACGGACCGAGGTTTTTCAGAACCAATGAACGCCACCGCATTTCCTCACGCCATTAAAGATTAAATTTTCATCCGCTTTTCGTACATCGTCTCAAAAATACAACATAAACCATAGCAAAATCGCACAAGGAGTAAGAAAAATATCAAGTTCAGTACGTCTACCAAATCGTGGGCCTGTAAGATACGAAGTCAACAGAGGACCTTTACCTGGAAGCTAGCATGCAAAAAGTCCATGGACTTACCCGAACGTCTGGCCCTCAGGGACGGTCTTGAGGACTACGCTATTCCAATCGCCAGTCTTCGTGAAGACTGTATTCCCCCACCAGGCCTGGATCGTATTTATGCCAATCTGACCATTCATTGGGAACTCTAGGCTGTTCACGTTGTTTAGAAAAGCAATGTTGCAAACTAAGCAGGGACAAGAAGCATACCAGAAGAAGATCAAGATAATGGACACTGCTACACCAGAGTCAAGTGCGGCAGAGAGTACATCTGGATGAATATAACAACGGCGTAAGTGAACATCTAGTGTACATGCAATTGCGTACGTACAGTTGTACTTTGTCCACCAGCTAAAGTGGCGCCGGCGAATGACATATTGGAAGATGAAACCAACGATAGTCCATGGAACGTAGTTTACTGCTGTCGCAGGTGGGATAAGACCAGTGCCCGAGAAGATGACAGGGAAGCTGGGATAATAAAAAAATGAGAGGAGGTTCGCCGGGCAACTTCTATTAAAGTAACACACTTCACGTAGCGCAAGAACGAGTTCGGCCACTTGAGAGAGACGAGGTAGCCAATGAGCGGACAAAGCACGCCAATAAGGAAAAAGAATGTAAGCGCTAAGAAGAAGGGGCTGTTAGGATTCAACCGCCGTGATGGAATTAAGATTCAAGATAGTACCACTGGGAAGAGCGTCAATAAATGATACCAGGTAAAGTCTGTGTCAAAACTCACTAGTAGATCTGTCCCTTCGAGAATTGAAGTGCAGGCCCAATAGCACCCCACTGTTCATCATGTCAGTAAAGTAAAGTCGGGAAGGTACAACAATAAGCAGACGAACAATAATTGAGGCTGTCCCGAAGACCTCTGTGCTAGGACAGATGAAGCCATCTTTTTGCTTCGGATCACATATGTTTTCGATATTAGTGAACATCCAAGCTTGAACACCGAGTTGCACAGTTCCCGCGACGGCGGTAGCAATAACTTGACCCCAGAACATCGGGCGTGGCGCGACCTTCATGTAGTGACCGAGCTTGAAGTCCGAAGTGAAAGTCAGCGCCTGTGCCATTGTGATGTAACCCCATGTCTTAAACATCATCATCGCTACTGGGCGACCGGGAAGTGCGTAACCAATGATGAGTTCCGTAATGACGTTCAACCCAATCTGTTGATTCGTAATTGCCTGAATCATTCCGATGGGTATGATATAGACAAATGCTTAAAGGCGCGTAAGTCCAGGACTGTCTGACGGCTGGAGTGACACTTACCAATTATGAGGGCAAGTACAAACGCCCACACCGGGAACTGAGTTGGCCATACCTCGATGGAGATGATCCCGAATACGAACATGGAGACTGAAATAGTTCTTACAGAGTGCTCACAATTCGCAAATTCTCGTTATACTCACGAAAAATGATCATATACCACCAGTCGGGAACTTGTGGGTATACGGACATGAGGCGAGCGTGAATATCGGGCTGCTCGTGCATAGAGCGTCTTGCCTGCACCCAGATTTGCTTGCGGAAGTAGAGGAAAGTGTGCGTGAGAGTCGCGGTAATGGAAGCGAAACTCAAGCCATACTAGGCAGAGGTGATTAGACGGTAACTTCAATAGTGAGTTTAGTAGCTCACCGAAATGGCAAACGTTGTTGATAAAAACAGTGGGCTGTACTGGTGGTATTTCTCAAGGTTGATCGTCGAATCGTCATTAAGGATCCGGGTTACATCGTACGCAGCTCCAGTGTTGTCAAAGGATCCACGAGAGCTGATTGGCATATATTGCGCGAACCATACGTTCTTAAAAGGGAGATAAGTGAGAAGTCTGCTGAAAAGACATACTCACTCACCGAGTAGTAAAGGACAGGGACAAGGAACCAGTAGAAAAATAGAAATCCTGCCGCAATGTTTGCCTCTGCCCACCTTTTTTAGAATCTAAATCAGCTGTAATACTTGGGTTAAGTATAAAGAAATATTACCATGGCGTTGCGAGGGGTGACCCTATATACGCGATCTGCGACCAGTCGAAAGTGATGAGCGACATGCTAGGGGCTATATTAGTTCACGCTCAAATACAACGCACGATGCGACGCACCCCAAGCCGCTAGAGTATCCGAACAGCTGGTTGATTTTCTTGATGAAAAAAAAAGTCATATAGTTTGCATCCATTCAAACTCGGAAAGTAGTACTCACGATATTATCGGGTGCGATCCAACATACCCACGAGAACACAGATAGCGCCTGGAAAATGTAACCAGGGAAGAAGTACCATGTGGCACTAGCAATGAAAGCGTAGGTGAAGAAACGCTCGCGACTAAGACCTCCTCGGTTACCAATGCCAGCATACACCTGGCTATGCAAAGTATTGAAGAGTGCACAGTTGACAAGGTTTGCTGGCCAGATCATCGAAGGGGGCTGCACGAGGAACCGACGTGCAATACCACCAATGCTGAATCCTATGAGCTGTGTCGACATCACGACGAGCCATTGATAAGAGAAGTTGTAGATTTGATTGTAATATACGCGTTGGACAGCGACGATGTCGGTCTATATTCATTGGACATGTCAATCATAACGCTAAGTAAAAACAGTAATTAGAAGATACGCAACGGCATATGCTGATCCACCGGCTACTGTAGCCATGATTGTAGCCAAGACATGCTCTTTGACAGTAAACGGTCCCGGGTTAAGCTGGACGCCAAAAATCGTAACCCTAGGCATCAAACGTGCCCATATTCGGCCGACAGGGAAGGAAATAAGCTGAGCCACAAGCTATTTACACAAAGATTAGATCTGCATCTTTATCATGAAAAGTTATATACTTACATTTCCAATGGTCACGGACGGGAATCTGAAGAAGAAAAACTGAAAAAAGTCTTGATATTTCATCTGTCACACGACGTGTAAAGATAGGTACCTGATTCAGGCCGCTTATCACAACGGCGAAAATTATGCCTGGAGGCGAAAGACAATTAGAACGGCGTCGATAGCAACTGTGCCATAAGACCTGCCTATCGTCCATGAGCGAAGTGTGGATACGGGCATTTCCGGGTCATCCATATTAGCGACCGCGGACCGAACCTCAGGATACGGAGAGTCATCCTCTGTCAAGCAGCGACACTATGAGTATACTGGTATGATAGGCGTTGTGTTGACTTACCTAGGACGATAGCATCTTTGTCGATATTTGGGTCGTCAAACTCAGCTATCGCCGCAACAGGCACTACGTCTGAATGAGACTCATTAGACGACCATTAAAACCCTCGATTAAGCATGCCTACGATTGGATTTCTCCAAGTCCTTCTCATCCGAGATTGAGATTTGGCTATTGCGGTTTGCCGACATAGTGACTACCACACAGTGGACGGGATCCGTGAAGGGAGTCCTGTCAGACGGACGGAGGGAGAACGGGAGCATTTCGTTTCTCTTTAAAGGGACGCTCCCAAGGTCTGTCGTAAGACCACTCTAACTTGGAGTGCGATAAGCCCACATGCTCCAGAAGGATTTGAAACCCATGCTTGGACAATAGATGGCATCGGAAGGAGTACGATAATATGAATAGCCTGCTGCGGGACAAATTACACACGCGTATCCAAGTTGGAACGGAGCACCACACTCCGAAGCAAATCCAGGGGATTTGGACGCGTCCACGACACAAGCTTCTATTTCGCCGACACCATGGAATTTGGTGGTTCACGACTAATTCACCATGTTTTAGATACGACGCGTCTAATGAATCAGTGTTATTGCTAGAAATAAGTAGATAGTTCATAAGTGATGTATTCACAAGTGATGTGAAAATATGAAATGAGTCCTAGAATGAAGCGCAAGGCATTCCCAGACGGTAGCGTAGCTCACTAGGGCACCAATATGATTTCCCCATGGCGTGCTTCGACGCAAGCCGTGTGTATGCCAGCAGAGAGTGTAAAAATAGATATCGCCTTGAGTCTTGTGCTACTTTCCCGGGGGCAGTGGACATTATTCAAGGTCAAAAATATGATAGTTACTTAGCATTGATATCCACAACAGTTTGGCCTAAGTAAGAATAATGGAACTTCTGATCAAAGAGGCCTTTTAGTTGGACGACATGGGAGTTGCTGTTCGGCCTGTCAACGAATGACATGCAGATCATTTCCTATTCGAGTGTTGTTGTCTTCTATTTGTGATTCCCCGTTCCTTTTGAGTCTGGCGTCAACCGGATTCACTGAAATTGAAAAGGCGCCAAGACAACTGCTATCGTGGACCGAGTTTTCCACGCAAACTTGACATGGGCAAACATGGATACTGCAGCCTCAACAGTCAGTTGGGACGCCAAGCTTGCAAAAACCATATTACCTGACTCAAAGGATCGTGACGGCTTTCACATCCCCACGTTCCGCATTTATACCCTGACCACTCACATGCAGTAAAATGGACGCAGAAGCACCTTACCTGGGATCATCGGAGGACCGGAGAATGTGGAAGAGCAGATCTTAGGGTGTCGGCATTTCCAACCTGGATAGCTAGATCTCAGGCATTCCGCGGTGTGGAGAGTCCCGACTTCGCAGAGTATACCATCTGAATCTCGCCATATCACGTATGCACTTCTTCTAGGCACAAGTTAACATTCAAGGCACCATATGGGATTTCTCGACCTTCTGAATAGTTAAACTGCGCACAACTATTCATTAGTCGTAGCCCATGTGCTAGCGAACGTTGTAACATCCTTATCAATTATGTCGTCAGTAGAATTCAAAGGTAAGACAAATTCAGATGCATATTTGGCCATCGTCTCCTCACGATAACATTTATCGGTGAGACCTCTTCAACAACCTAATTGGAATTGGGTTCACTGCAAGCGACATCTGCAGTTGTGCCTGCATCATACGGTTCCGTGCCTCCTCCCTGGTCTCGCCGGGCTTGAACACGGCCTCGACCTTGAAATCACGCAGAAGCATCGACAACCAACACACCGCCTCGGTCATAGCAAATTTGCGACCAATGCAAGCGCGTGGTCCTATTATTGGGATACAAATTCGTCAAAACGTGCTGATACAGATAGATGAATGCGAACGTTCAAATATAAACCAACGCACCAATACTGAATGCCGTGAAAGCGTCGGGCATGTCGGAGGACTCCTGCGCATGCCAACGCGATGGCTTGTATACAAGCGGATCAGGGTAGTATCGCGGGTTGTACTCTGTAAAATAGAGTTGGAATATCTGCTTCTTCATAAAGTATTGAAGACTCACGAATTCCAACCATATCAACACAGACCATGGAGTTCTTCTGCACGGAAAGCTCTCGAACCCCTTCCTGATCCGTAGATTCTGGAACACTCAGTGTCGTAGCTCGCGTATTTCTCCTGATCATTGTAGAGCCAGCCGCTACGACAGCCTACATCAGAACACCATTGCATAAGACAGATTCGGTACATACGTATCAATCGAAGGGCTTCGTAGAAAGCTGATAGCACTTTGTAAAGCGCAGGGTAATCCTCAAATGTCTAATGAACGACAGTAAGTAACAAATCATATGCTTATGGGCCAACTCGCTCTCACCGGATCGCGTTCATTCCCGAAGACACTCATGATCTGCTCGTATACTGCGCCTTGTTCCTCCTGGTAAATTCCTAGGTAGCCGAGTGTTGCTGCGAGAGTATGGCCAGTCGTTTCTTGTTAATAGTGAAAGGCTTGGTTTTCTTGCTCTGTGCCACAAACCGATACCAGCGCTCACCATGGCCAGCAAACAAAAGAACAAACACGTTTCCAATCTTTAGCACATGGTCAGTGGCAATCGACAATGAATTAAAAGTAGGCTGGTCACTAATTCCTCTTCGTCCAAGGGCAGCTTTTCGGCCTCCGATTCATTTGCAAGGACGAGGCGTGAAAACACATCACTTCGTTCACTCTCAAGCCTCCCGTTTTCAGCCATCTCCTGTCTTATTTCCTGCTTTCTTAACGCGACCTGATTTTTCATGAACGTTCCAAGAGTCCGATGCGCAGACTCGATATATTGAATTCTTTGACATGTCGTCAGTAGCTGTTGTCGCGTCAGGAAATCATCTGAACTTACTTCTTGAACGGGAGTTTCCAGACCCACCTTGGAGCTGCGAGTCGAGAAAGGTTATACTCGGAAGTAATTTGGAGCGCCTCCTGGAGCGACATCGAGCCATCTGATCCAGCCGGCTTTTCATTGCTTGTGGGCGGTAGACCAAAGCCGCAGCTCGCTATTATATTCAGAGCCAACTTTACGAACATGCAATCAATCCAGTTGTTCAAAGCATCAATGAAAGAAGACCAACATTTAACGTGTGAGTTTGCATTTTGGGTATCTCAACGAAATCCCTCCTGAGCCAGTCCTCTCTGGCAACTATCTCATTGTACACTCGCTGAGTCTCCCTCCATACTAAAGCATATCTAATATGAAGTCTGATCAGGCACAATCCAGGAAGTGAGTGGTCGAACTTACGTCTTGTTATTGAATGCCGGACCCATGATGCGACGATGTCGGCGCCATAATTCTCCTCCCTCAGCACCTCCAAGGTTCATGCCCCACATTCTATAACGGATAAGTATTAGGAGAGGGAAAAGATGTAATCAAATCGGGGAACGAAGAAATATCCTTACAAAAGAGCCCTGCTATAATCTTTAGGCTTAATCCATGGCGAGCTTGGACCTCCAGCGACAACCTGACGGGCGACATCCAAATTGGCTGTCCAAATTTTCGCAGAACCCCACAGGAGAGGTACGACTGAGATCGTGTCTAACCCGTAACGCTTGTACACTAAAGAAGAAAACTATTCAGGATAAAAGATTGACTGAATATGAGCCGGAGGGAAGGATGATTCACATGTCAGGCGTTGTGACCACTGAAAGTTTAGACCAGGATGCCACCACGACTCCGGAGTAATGGCTCCAACAAGGGTGAATGGTTCGACGACACATCGAATGCCAGGAAGGTAGCTTACAGTCTATGTGTGTGTTGTAGTTACAAACGGTTGATAATAGAGTGCTGAAGCATAGCTTACCTTCAAGCCTGTGAAGAATACGTACGCTCGGTATAATGCGTATGCAACAATTATTCCAAGAACAGTAGTATTTGCGTCCATCGACGCAAGTAAGCTAGTTGTATCTTCAACTCGCTGAGGCAGCATGGTAATTGCTTGTAAACCCCATATTGTCGTTCATCTCGAGATTTTTGGCGCTAGGAACGAAGGCAAGGGTCATCACGACGCTTGAAACCGCTGCGTAACAAGTATCACGTAGGAGATTCTTTAAAAGAAGATCCTAATCGCGGGAAAGGCATTCCACATAAGTAAGCAATTCCGAACGCCAATCACTGATCGTCGATTATCTGTATCAGATTCATTTAATCATTACCGTCATTCACCAGTCCTTGAACCAGCACATTTTGTCTTTTACTGTCGTTTTCATAAATATTGTCACACGCGCGATTCGTGATTCTTGTCACACTAAGTACACTCAAATACAAAATCTATCATAACTCAACTAATACTTGACCAAATTACATGATCTAAGTTGTAAAAATTATACTTTTAAAGTGTCTTTCATATTCCAGAAAAAATAAAGTAAAATGAGCAAAATTTGAGTAAGATACAACACAATATGTGAGTTTTCCCTATATTTCATGTATACAAGTTTTCCTAGCCCTAAAACTGATTGTACAATACTATAAACTAGTCTAAATGAAGAATATAACTTTATTATTAATTTACATGTTGAATTCTAACCAGGATACAGAATACACATATAAGTATAATACATATTTAAGTTTGCTAAAATTGAGCATTTTCCCCCAACCTCTCTACACTCAGGGAAGGTTCTTCTGAGTATTATTCATGTTTGTAAATTCATTATAAACAAAATATATTAAATATAAGTACTTTAATAAGTTATAGTAAAGTTATATAAGTTAGAGAAGTACTATTAAAGTAGTATATAGAATAATGACTTTCTACTTCATTTAAACTAGAAATCCATAATAAGTCTATTAAAACTGTTTGAAACTAGTCTAATTTATTTGGAATGAATTTACAAACATGAATAATACTCAGAAGAACCTTCCCTGAGTGTAGAGAGGTTGGTGGAAAATGCTCAATTTTAGCAAACTTAAATATGTATTATACTTATATGTGTATTCTGTATCCTGGTTAGAATTCAATATGTAAATTAATAATAAAGTTATATTCTTCATTTAGACTAGTTTATAGTATTGTACAATCAGTTCTAGGGCTAGGAAAACTCATATACATGAAATATAGGGAAAACTCACATATTGTGTTGTATCTTACTCAAATTTTGCTCATTTTACTTTATTTTTTCTAGAATATGAAAGACACTTTAAAAGTATAATTTTTACAACTTAGATCATGTAATTTGGTCAAGTATTAGTTGAGTTATGATAGATTTTGTATTTGAGTGTACTTAGTGTGACGAAAATCACAAATCACACGTGTGACAATATTTATGAAAACAACAGTAATTTACACAACAACACATAAATTTTTTTACAAAAAAATATTACTATAATTAAATATATCTACTCAAGTATAAAATATAAAATATAAAATATAAAGTTAAAAAAAATGAAATGAAGGAGAAATTAAGCATACATTTTATACTATAGCCCAAAAGTGGGTCTACCACTCCTTGAACCACTATTTTCACACGGTATTTGTTACCCCTCCCTAGAGCCATCCCCCTCATCCCTACCAATATTTTCAATAGTAAGCATATAGTACTGATACTCATGATTATACTTATAATTGAAATAATGTACGTTGTATAACATAAATCAATAGTTTACTGAACTTGAGAGTTGTTAACAATATTATAAGTTAGATCACGTGACCTTATTTATGGTGTCGGCAACAATTGTTATTACAATTTGAACATTGCTGATTTTTTATCTCATGTTCCACTCATTATTTTCACATAAAAATTTTCACAGTAATATTTAGCACTAGTACTTATATTAATGAGTTTTTTAAATAATAAAAATTTCAATATTTGAGTAATAATTAATTCATAAAAATTTCAAAAAGGTGTAGTTCTCAGCACTTTTTGCAGTTTTTCGTGTATATCTCTATCAATAACGCATAATTTTATTTCATAATTTTATGACACTAATATTATACTATTTCAAGTCTTAATCCAATTTTTCTACTATAAAAGGTGTTGTGGCTGTAAAATGACAGGGGTGGTTCAAGGAGTAGTGATGGTTCAAGGACCGGTGGATGACAGTATATTTAGATCAATCCATACCTGCATTAAAACATTTGGAGCAGCTGACCCGACGGATTTCCTTCCGACAATATTAATACGATATAATTGGGGGGTGTGCGTAATATCTGACGATTCATTCATTCATAGTGACTCCGTTGCTGGAGGCACCCTTTACGGAGCTTAATCAACTGAATCCTACTGAAACCGTTTAGACCTTTTCATGGCGAGTGAACCGTGAGCAAACAATATAAAGGGGTTTCCCCATTCCTTTTCAATTGTCAAGGAGATCCACTGGAACGATGAAACCACATGTATTTATCCAGTAACCATATTCTATAAGCTAATAAATAGACAACGACAAAATATCCAAGAATATCGAAGGATTACATGGCATGCTTGCGACCAGCTCTCTTCACCAGCCTGATCGAGACAGGTTTCACTGCAAGAGTCATGACCATCTGTGCCTGCAATACACGGTCTCGAGCCTCTTCCTGTGATTCACCAGCATTGAGCACGACCTCGACCTTAAAATCACGCAAAAACATCGAAAGCCAGCACACTGCCTCGGTCATCGCAAACTTACGACCAATACAGGCGCGTGGTCCTGCAACAATAAAGCGAGATACATCAGGATACGATGATACAAATGGAAGATGGATCTTCAAATGTAGGTGAACGTACCGATACTGAACGCTGTGAAAGCGTCGGGCAATTCGGAGGTCTCTTGAGCGTACCAACGTGATGGCTTGTACGAAAGTGGGTCAGGGTAATAGCGTGGATTGTACTCTGCCCGAACTTGTGTGAGTGGTCTGCATTTCCCAGCCAGAGAGAGGTAAGCCCTTACGGATCCCGACCATGTCGACACATACGACAGAATTTTTCGGTACGAAGAGATCCTGAGTGCCTTCCTTATCTGTGGCATTTGGAATGTTCAAAGTCGTGTCCTTTGTCGCACTCCTAATCATAACGGAGCCTGCCGCTACGGAAGTATATATTAAAAAAAGGTATCACAAAAGAAAATCGGATACGTACGTATCAGGCGAAGGGCCTCGTAGAAAGCCGATAGTACTTTGTACAGCGCAGGATAGTCTTCAAATGTCTAAATAAGCTCACAAATGAGTGAAAGTATTTGCCAATGAGTATTGTTTCTCTCACAGGATCACGGTCATATCCAATAGCATTCATGATTTGCTCATAGACTGCGTCCTGTTCTTCCTGATAGATTCCTAGGAAACCGAGTGTCGCAGCTAGTGTGTGGCCAGTCGTTTCTGGTGTAAAACGATGAGCTTCACATCATAACGAAATATTAAATCTGAATGATCACCATGACCAGCAAATAACAGAACAAACACATTTCCAATCTTTGACACATAGTTAGTACCATGCGACGGCACGACAAAGCCAGGTACGTTACCAGTTCTTCTTCATCCAGGGGAAGCTTTTCGGCCTCCGATTCGTTTGCAAGGACGAGACGAGAAAACACGTCACTTCGTTCGCTCTCGAGCTTTCCGTTGTCAACAATATCTTGTCTTATCTCCTGCTTTCTCAGAGCAACCTGATTCTTCATAAACGCTCCAAGTGTCCGATTTGCAGATTCGACATATTGGTACCTTCGAACAATTGTCAAATTATGCTGTGGAAGCAATGTAAGTCATACTCACTTCTTGATGGGGAGTTTCCAGAACCACTTCGGGGCAGACGTCCGAGCAAGATTGTATTCAGAGGCGACACGCAGTGCTTCTTGGAGTGACATCGAACCATCTGACCCAGTCGGCGGTTCGTCCCATGAGAATGGCAGACCGAAACCGCAACTTGCAATGATCAACAAAGCCAGCTTTATGTTCCTGTCATCAAGCCGTTGACAGATTTCTTGGCGTAAAAGACGTACCTTGAAAGTGTAAGTTTGTATCGTGGGTATATCAATCGTGTCTTCCGCGAGCCAGCCCTCATGAGCAACCATCTCCTTGTAAACGCGTCGAGTCTCATTCCATACCAGGGTGTATCTGTCCACACGCTCCATCAAGTACTTCTCATTAAATAGAGACAAATACGCACGTCTTGTTGTTAAATGCCGGTCCCATGATGCGACGATGTCGGCGCCAAACGTCCCCTCCTTCAGCGCCGGCAAGGTTCATACCCCACAACCTACATCACATAGTATGAGGAAGCACATACAACAATTAAATGGACAACGGGAAAGAGCTCCTACAAAAGAGCCGCGCTGTATTCTTTGGGTTTGATCCATGGTGAGGTGGGACCTCCAGCCACAATCTGACGGGCAACATCCAAATTAGCTGTCCATATTTTTGCAGAGCCCCACAAGAAGGGCACGATTGAAATCGTGTCTAGCCCGTAGCGCCTGTACACTAGAAAGGAGTCACGGTTGAGCCAACTATATCGATTGAATGTAAGTCGGGAAAGGGCGGCTAACAGGTTACACGCTGCGACCATTGAAAATTAAGACCGGGGTGCCACCAAGACTCCGGAGTTACTGCTCCAAAAAAGGTGAAGGGCTCGAAGATGCATCGAAGACCAGGAAGACTGTTAACGGTCTAAGAGAAATGCGTCTCAATCGGATGACCGACACCGAAACAAATTATGACTTACCTTCAAGCCACCAACAACGACATAAATACGATATGTTGCGAAAGCAGCGAGTAACCCAAGAATAGTTGTCTTCGCGTCTATGTCCCACGGCAAGCCGACCAAATCACTTACACTCAGAGTCGACATGGTATCTTTTTACTGCTGGACATCACTTTATGAGACATAGGAGTATTTGGACCACCGATCCGCTGACGTGTTAATCCCTACACAACGGAACGGACTACACAGCGAATTTCCTTTCGTGGGAATAACTATAAATGAATACACACACTTGCTTAGTTAAGCAGGTTGGGTAGGCTTCATCGACTGACAATATCATCATAAAATGCATCATTCAAGGCAATGTAAAGGGAGATGGAACGAGTAGAGCATGCGACTTAAGCCGAAGAGAGAGTCTATAAAGTCCAAATAATGATCTTTGAGTAACTAGCCAGCTTATCTAAGCACCAATCACAATTATTGACCGCTAATTCCCGCGATTGACTCTGAGTCTGATGTCACGAACATGTTCCTTGTCCCAGATTTAATACAACAGTGTACGAATTGGTGTCGGTTTCTGCTGGTTGCTGCTCCTACACGAGAGAACCCCACGTGTCTCGCTGTCGATGATGATACAGCAGATGCCAGAAGGATAATAATAATGCTTGCGAAAACAATACTACTCATAACAAAAATCAAAAATAGTTTTGCCCAATGAAAGAAAGTAACAATGTCTCAGTGTACGATTATTCACCCTAGCAACCCATTTCTACTCCATCGTACGGCCCATCGTGGTCCGACTCATCACTTTCGAATATATTTGGTACGTCGCCAGTGCTACAAAGGTCCGAGGTGTTGTCCTGACCTATTTTGGGTTAGAACAACAGGTTTATGTTAAAGGTTTTTTGAGGATACTTACCTGGGCACGCGTCCCACGCTCCCGAATCTTGGATATGCACCTCACCACTGGGATGATGGAAGCCGAGGAATCTTCCGGGGACAATTGGTATGGGATCTTCTTTGTTATTGATATGCGTTAATCCGGTTCCACCATTTAGACTCGTAACATGAGCGTCGACGTAATTCGCGAAGTCTTGGTTACCGACACGAGGCATGCCGTAGGTTATAGTCGTAATGGTTGTGCCTGATGGGAGGTGCAGAGGCAGGAAGACAGAGTCAATGAGTGCGATTGCTCCGCCTAGAGAATGCCCGACTATAGTCACGGAAGCCCCTGGATGCGATGACAGCGTGGATTGTACTGCGGATAGGATAGCAGGTGCAGCACTGTAGCCTTCGTCAGATCTATCAAACTTTTCGCAAGGAAATAATTCTCACTTCTGCTGTTGCCCAGCAAATCCACTGTGGACCTCTACTGATGAAGGTACGCCAGGGAAAAGAGTCGGATCCAGGGACCGCTTTGGTATGTCGATATCACTTAACTCAGATACGCTGTTATAAATGGATATTAATGCATTTCTAGCTAAACAAACGCATATTCATGTAGACTCACAATGAAGAAGTGTTTGTCCCTTCATGTGCTACAACGATAGTATTCAATGAGGAGTCAAAGCCCACATACCCTTAGCAAAGCAGAAAGCCTCAGTATACCCGGTTAGCTTATATCAAATGCATATTTAGCCTACAGAATTGAGTATCAGTCCCGTCGCCTCCCGATGCGATCGGTATAAACCCGGGATTTGCATCGCAATTAGCTAATAACCGTAACAATGCTTCAGTCCGAGAATCACACAAGACTGGAAATTTGTGTGGCTGACCTCCGCAGCTCCAGGTCTTCGTCACACTGGGCTGACAGTATGCAGCACTCGCAAAGAACGTGAACGGTTTGAACGTTGCAATCTGGCTCGCCGACAACGTTGTGATTGACTGCCGTCGTCTAACGGTCACAGGGTTCGCATACGCGATATGCAAAGAGAACAGCAAGAGTGCCGAAGAGAAGACTCGGACCATGATGAAAGTGTCTGAGGAGGACTGAGGTATTTGACTGGGAGATCAGAGGCCCTAGACGATCAGGCCAACGGACTCGGTAGCATTTATAGGTCCTTCCAACAGCACAGTTAATTCCGAATAGGTTTGTGCTCGCACATATTCTTAGACACTGTGATGATTGAATGATGAACTGTCAGAAGTACCGCGCGTTGTGTTCATCAGACCTGGCTTCTTTTAAGCATGTGGGATAAATATAACAGCATGTTCCTTGTTGGCTGCCTATAGTCGGACGGAATGCAACTGCCCATTGAAACAGAGAAGCGAGGTACGCGCCCGTGCGTCCTGGACATGATAGGTCTGCTGATCAATCGATCATACGTTTTGTGGATCGTTGCATGGGGATGAGTTGTTGATTGGCGGTAAGGCGGCAGTATGAAATATTAGACGACGCGAATCTTGTGAAAAGTATCTGTTGTCTTGTCGGCATCATGAAAACGGTAAATAGTAAACTTTGAGGTTTGTGTAAGCGATCCCCGAGATTTAGATTAAGAAGGTTTCGAAAGCGGTTCCGGATGGGCGTGGAAGATTTCAGAGAACGCTGTACGTGCATCGCTTCGTCCGAGCAGATCGTAGTCAACTAGAAGTACAGCTTCATATGGCACTTGACAGACAGGCGTGGTAGAGTTAAGGTGGTATGAATAGCATTTATCATGAAAATTCTCAGAAGATAGTTCATAGATGTGGTTCCATTGAGATACGATGTCCTGGCGGTTGTTCATTGGATAATAAACCGTAATTAATGCCCTATCGTTTCCGTATCTGAAAACATGTGCGTGGATGAGACGGAAATATCGGAGAACGAGGGAACAATAGTGCCAGACTCTCAGCGAACTCGGTGCAAGAGTTGGAAGAGACCAAAAAGATGCAGTCATGAAGAGTTCTCACGGTTTTACCACTGCGGATCGGCCGCGGCGCCAGAATAAATTCTACATTTTGGAATCCAGCAAGCATACAAATTCAAAAGCGGAACCTGCAGATTACGCGTTCTTTCAGAACAGCTTGTACTCATCCCTTATTATTTGGTTGACAGAGTCTAGGAACACACACAGCACACACCTAGAGTGTGAGGCGATGTATTGAACGATTACCAGCACATCTCCTTAACAGTGGATTTCACCTTGTATCACAATGAATTAGTACTTCCTTTCATGCTGGTTCAACGAGAACAGCTAGTCACTCAAGTAATTCGACGCTGCGATCCAACATCACAAACTCAGAAAAAAGCTAGACGCCACAGAACGACAGGAGAAAATCAGGTCACCGTTCCTCCTGTCTGGGAATATTATATTAATAGCATGGAACTCTTGGATCCAGAAAAGCGGCATATCAATCTTATTTTCTGTTTTCATCAAAGCATCCGACTCCCATATATACCATGTAGTTTTGTTTCTTTTTCCAATGACTGCCCTTGAACCCTTGCACAGTAACATTGCTATGCAGAAGCCGGAAAAATTCCACCCTTGTCTGTGCGATGGTCCCGGAGATAGTTTTGACAGCCTTTGGAGCATTTGATTATTGCGAGAATCCGAGGATATTAGTTCCTTTAGCCGTGTAGTCCCGTGGAAAATAGAATCGACAAGATGGGAGTGCTCCCGAGATTGTGTTCTCACACAACACACATACAGACGTCATGTTCTCTACGAAGACCTGGCCAATTGCAAGATCTTGGTATGAGGCGGATTCAGAACGATATTCACGATATTGCAAGAAGCTATAGTTGCATATTTCGGGTCTGGGTCCGGTCCGGGGCATCTCGGTCGATTCAACCACAAACAATATTAAAAAAGTAACTTTATCATGTGATAGCCCTTGAAAAAGTAAGGGCACATGCACATTTTTAGCAAAAAATAGGGGCTCTGTGGAACGTGATGCCGTGACCGAGATCTCCTGGACCGGACCCGGACCCGAAATATGCAACTATACAAGAAGCTATCAGCTCGCAGCACCATTCTCCCTCCCAAAACTTGACGATCAAGATAAAGAAAGCTTATCATTGCAAATAAGTATAGTAACTAAGAAAAAAAGCTTTTTAGGAGGACGATTCTACAACTCCAACTAAGCTTAAAAAAAAGCCAATTGGCAGAAGGGCTGAAACTATACGAGTGCCTTGCGGCGAACAAGTGGCCTTCCACGCTTCCGCTTCTTGCCATCCGCAAATGCATTTGCGCTTTTATGGTCTCGACCAAGTGGGTCTTCCTTTTTGACTTGGTAAATTCGAACCTGTGATTAATATGATAATATTGAGTTAGTGGTCGGGGATGAAGAGGAATGGGACTTACGATCCAATTTTCTGATGTGAAGGCTTCGTCTTTAAATGGGTTAAGGTCGAGTTCAGTTATAGAAAAGGAGGATTTGCGGATGGTTCTTACCGAGATAATCGAGCGTTGGGCCGATCGTTGGGAGTTGCTGGCCACGAACACGGTCGACTGGTGGGTTACCCATGAACAGTTCGTTGAACCTACCCAGCATATTAATACGTACATCATCAAAGAAATCACAAAAAATGCAACTAACCTATAGTACGACATCTTATACATCAAACTATTCTTCATCGTCTCAGAAGCTTGCGCGTCAACACGATATTCACCACGCGGCGTGAAGTAATTTGGTTCCTGGATCTCCTCTGGCCAGACTCCCTGTGCAATACGCACCATCCAGAGGAACTTGTTGATGTCGTCGCCTGAGTAGCCAAGTAAACCGCCGAAGATGACGAGAACGTAGTCGACATCGTGCTTGCGAAGAATCGGGTAGGATTTTTCCTCAGGGCTTGCCATTGCTCGACCCACAGTAGCAATATGCGCTGTAATGCTTCGGTGAGATCAAAGCAAATGTTGCGGAAGAAAGTTACTTACTGTTGTTCCAAGTGTTGTTGTCAACGAGAGTTGTTCTGGCTGAGAACCCAGCGATCTGATACCCGTAGTCCCACCAACTCATGATAACCGAGTCCTCCGGTGTGTTTTCGCGCAACCAGTAATACGCCTCGCGATAATCATCAATGATATGCTTAGAACCATCCGGATTGTTAGACGAGAGCACGACAGAAGGAGATGAATATGCATTAGCAGTCACCCAAGTGCAGTGAAGCACAAATGAGAAGAGCAACATCAGCGCATTTGCAAGAACTATGAGTCGTGTGTCGAGACCGAAAATGCCGCGCTGCTTCTCCGACGTTTTGGAGGGAACGAGACTTGCGAGCTTCATTGAGAGGTTATCTGCCGGAACCGGTGTTACTGCAGCCTTTCTCTGCTTCTTTGTCGTTGCCGGAGCTGGAGTAGAAGACGATGCTGTTTCTGAGACCCCGCTATCGCTCCTTGCGTCATCCCTCGATGTCTCTTCATCTGGTTCCGCAGGGTCCATGTAACGATCAAGCAGAGTAGATAGTGAAACTGCAGCAGCGACGCAAACGCATGGTGTAAGTGTCAACATGAGCCGAACCATGACACCTGCGAAGTAGCTAGCAACGACTGCGTAAATGATGACAAATACATGTTCATCACGGAGCTCGTTGAAGCACATGTATACACCAGCCGGGAATAGGACGATGAGGAAGTGAAGATCCATGAAGAACGAGGGCCAGGCCGTTGGCTGATGTTCGGATACGGACGCAATAATTGGGATGTACTTCTTCGCGTAACCTGTGTCCCAGAGCGAGTAGAATCGACCAGTCCAAGGGGCAATCCATCCCTTCATGGTCAAGACACCGAAGGTCATTGCACCGAGTACACCAAGTACGATAACGGATACACGAAGCAGCGATTGGAATTGCTTCGATGTAACATGCGAACGAACAAGGTCGGTGAATGCGACGAGCTGGAGTAGTCCGAAGACGCCGAGTGCGGCCATATGCTCGCTTGTACGGACGGGCTGGAAACCAACGAAAGGTACTTGCATACTTGCAAGTGTACCGATGGCGTACCAAGACGAATATGCAACATACAGACGGCTTGAGTACCGACCCATAAGGAGCAGGACAAGAGAGTGCAGCGGAATCATGTTTGTGATGAAGGCGTAACCTCCCCAAGCTGCCACCATGTAAAAGTAGAATAGGGCTGCACCAACTCCGAAAAGCGCGCTACCAGTCTTGAGTGCCTTTATCCAGAGGAAGAAGGTGAACATGAGGAGAAAGATTGCAATTGCCTCGTTATCGTATGAACCTGCGACGGAACGGGAGATGTAGCCCGGTACAATGCCGATGAAAATGGCAGCGAGGAGACCAGCACTCTCGTCCTTCATTTCCTTGGTGAACATGTACGTTGACCATGCAGTCAGAGCACTAAATCCGGGAGCTAGCAGTACGCAAATATTACGAATGTCGACGGGAAGACTGAGAGAATGGAGGACATTGTAGATGACACCACTAGTTGCCATCAAGCCTGGGTAGATAGTACCGCCAACGACACGGCCGAGAGGATACCAGGCGGTTGGATCGAACCAATTCCAGAATTCCTACATTCTCGCGTTAGAACATGCATTACTTTAACATGCGTAGAGCACGCACATAGAAGCCCTTCTCGGCCAGAACTCTCGTCGCACGACTAGTCGAAGACGAGGTCAATAACATTCTACTTGCTATCTTACGGTGGTACTCACTAGTTAAACCATGGATCGCTGAGCAGTATGTCAGAGCAATGTATAAGCATTTATTTAATATATTGACTTACAATTCGTGGATAATACTTTCGTAGTTTACGACAGCAAAGAGACGCGACGCGATTGCAGCGCCTGAGACGAAGAATAGAGCGATGATGCGTAAAAGAGAGGCAGTATTCGCGACCGTCGACGGCGCGAGGTCGGAAGGCAGGGTGTATGCCACTGCCATGAGCGCTCACCGAGTGTTTTTGGTGTCGGTGCGCTGTGGACGTTGTGGGCGGAGAGTGATGGCAGTGAGCAGAAACGCGCTACGTGTCAGGTTTAGTGGACTGCGGAGACGGCGCGTGTGCTATTTCGGGCACGACTGCTATTTACAGCCGCAACATCTTTTTCTTTTTTTTCCCTCGTCGGTATCTTTTTCTCGCCGTTCGACAGCGTCCGCTGTGCAAGTAACAGCAGGACATGGACGGTACGACGAGCTCTACGCTGGTCATCACCGGCAAACGTAAAAGGCAGCAAGACCTTGTCCTTCATCTGTCTGGCGGCAGCACCTGCGAATCCGACAGCGATGCCGTTTCAGAATATTCACACAGCGACAGCCCCATGGCCTCCTCAAGCAAGACACAAGTGCTTAATCCTCCTATTATCGTCGGTGGAAAGCTCATTGCGGATGGCGGGAAGCGGTACCATTGCACGTTTGAGGGCTGCACAAAATCCTACAGAAAGCCCGTTCGATTGGAGGAGCACGAGCGGACACATACCGGTGAAGTCAGTACCTCACTTAATTCAACTCTGGTTAGATATCTGACTATGCCTCTGAAGAGACCTTTTGTATGCACAACATGTCGAAAGACCTACTTCCGGGATAGCCATTTACAGGCACACATGCGGACCCATATGCCAGATTCGTCTCGGTCATTTGCATGCCAATTTGATGGCTGCGAGAAAAAGTTTTGGACTCCTCAGCATCTCAAGCGTCATGAGGAAACGCACTCCGGAGAAAAGCCATTTAAGGTAGTGTTCAGTTGGCCATTAGTGAAAATCTAGTTATTTCTAACATTTGTTGCAGTGTTCAGAACTTGGATGCTCCCAGTCTTTCTCAAAGCACAACCAGCTCCGTTCGCATATCTCCTCGGTTCATTGTCAATCAGGGACTAAGAACTTCCGATGTGAGCATGAAGGATGTCCAAAGAGCTTTGCTACTAGCCAAAAGCTGAAGGCACATGCAAAAATACATGAAGGTTGGTAACTTACTTATAAAAATAATTATGGTGAAAGAGCAAGGATTTAACCATTTGTTGATTAGACCACCGATATACATGCACTCATCCCGCGTGTCTATCTAAGAGCGAAAACGAATACTTCTCCGCCTGGAGTGCACTACAAGCACATACGAGGGCGACACATCCACCAACTTGCCCTTACGTTTCCTGCAACGGGAAGATCTTCTCTCAGCAAAAAATTCTTCGAGTGCATTTGAAAATTCACGAGCAGCGAGAAGCAGAACAGACTCTTGCAAGTACATACCGAGGAGATGGTTGTGAAGCAGACGACGAAGGTGAAGATCGTCCGAGTAAGAGATCCAGAGGTGGTGAAGTCGGGAGGGATTGGAAATGTTCGGAGAGTGGTTGTGAGAAGGATTTCAAATCCGTATGTCTGGAAAACACGCTTCTGATTTGATACTATACTGATGTTTCTGATGCAGAAAAAAGCACTAGCAACACACGTCAAGGTCGCACATATGCTCCGGCGTGACTTTGTTTGCACCTTCGAAGGATGCGGTGCATCATTCGGGTATAAGCATCTTCTACAGAGGCATTCAGCTCGGATCCACTCGATCCACGGAGATTCTCATGGAAATCTTCATTCTGTAGTACTCGATGAAGTTCCCGCAGAAGGATGCACACCCTTGAAGACACTGGAAAACAGTGTGATTGACGTACTGACGGGTAAAGCATACGAAGATCATGCGAAGCGGCGTCTCTCTGCTACGGAGACGCTTGCTTGCCCATATCCGGTCATACCAGGACACAAATTAGAGACATCTAGTGGATTGTCTTCAGCGCCATGCAAATTCGTCTTCAGTCGCGCATATGATCTTCGCCGTCATCTAGCATCCGCACACGCGCTCAATATTGACCGAGAACAGGCTACAGAAGTGGTGAAAGCTTTGCGTCGGGCTGCAAAAGCACCTAGAAGTTGTATAGACGGACTAGATTTGTACGTTTGGTCATTGATATATTGGTAGGGCGCTCCGTTTCGTGAGCTTGACTTTTCTTACAGTGTGATTATTTTTAGCTTCTAGACTATACACTTTATGGGAGTTCTATAGATTCCATGTTCGGTGGGAGTCATCGTTTTAATGCAGTCCCGCTCGGTCGGTTCAAGATTAACGCCGTTGATAGATTACAGAATATATAATAGGTCTGGGAAAGGTTGACAAGAAGCGAGCGAATTGCTGGGCGCTCTTGCATCTCAGATGATTTACCTTAATTCTGTAACACTTCTACGCAAAGGCGCTGGTATGGAAGTAACTTTAGACTGCTGCTTGTCCCTTTTTGCACATTCTCGCAATTCTGGCCAACTTAATAGATCTGGCAAAGTGAATGCTGGTAATTCTCTCAAGCGTCTGCCATAGCGTTTCAATTCGACTATGCGGCACCTTGGTGATACAAGTTGTCATTGTCTTCTTGGTCATGGATATATTGTGGCTTCTTGAGAGTTCTTCGGTTCTTAAATTCCCTGATATAGCAGTGCTATGCCTCTACAATTGCTTCCGCAACTTCCTTGATGACTTCGGTGACTCTCAGCTCCTTAGCTGCTGTTTCGCTGATCTTCTTTCTATACTATGTCGGAACTATCAAACTGGACAGACAGTGGGCTATACATGGATTCACAGGTCATGATGCCGCACCCAGTTCAGAATCCGCCGAACTCTTGATGCAATGATTGAAGTCTCTTTCAGCTCGAATGCGCTGAGGGGACCGAGATGCATGCGAATAGAACTAACACAACCGGAACCGTGAAACTCGGACTTGTTTGATGGGTAATCTTTCAGTGCATCAAAATTATACTTTCTGCGGGACAGTGCCTGGTATAAAATCTACCTGAACGCTCGAAAGTCCATCCCAGGGAGCTTCACCCCTCGAATCGACGTTCTTACTGCAAGAACAGCGGGCTTATTCCTTCATTCGTTGACTTGCTTATATTAACAGGAAACATGGCAAACTTCCTATCAGCTCTCCTCGTGCTCTCTGCGTCCATCTTTTCCACCTATGCTTCACCTCTGTCTTTTTCCACTCGCGAGAACTCGGGTGTTACTCCCTTGACATCGGAACAAGTGTCTGCATTCAAGCCATTCACGTTCTATGCAAGTTCTGCTTATTGTCAACCGACAACAACGATTAATTGGACTTGCGGAAGTGAGTCGTTTTTATCTGCATTTCGAACTGTATCGAATGCTGCACTCACATGCCTTTGCATAGCTACTTGCGAACAAAATGCCGGGTTTATACCGACAGATTCAGGAGGAGATGGAACGGATACGCAGTTTTGTAAGAATCTCGATATGCAGCTTCTTAGTCCACATTTTGTGTGTTCTGACGTCTCAACTGAAAAAAAGGGTTCGTTGGCTTTGATACTGCCCTCAACTCTGTCATTGTTGCACATGAAGGAACGAACGCATCTTCCCTGTATGTTCAAGGACTTATTCCAGCCACGAGCGCATCTCTTACTGTTTCGTATTTATTAGTGTGGCATGGCTTACAGACTTCGAATTCGCCATGGACAATCTCGATCCGAACCTCTTCCCTGGTGTACCTACTTCCGTGTTGGTACACAGTGGATTCGCTGCTGCACATGCACGGTACGGTCTTCAAACTCTTTGAAACTGGGGGTTTGCGTTTTACTAACGTCATGAATGTGTCTAGTGCGGCTCCGGAGGTTCTCTCTGCGGTCAATAAGACACTTTCCGAGCATCCGGGAGCTTCCGTATCGATAACCGGCCACTCTCTAGGCGGGGCACTTGCCCTTCTCGAATCTCTCTTCCTGCCTTTGCATCTTCCGGCGGAAACGAACTTCAAAACCGTCACATACGGTATGCCGCGAGTGGGAAACAAAGCATTTGCCGACTACGTCGATGCGCACGTTACGAGTCAATCTGGTGGTACGGGACTGACGCATATAAACAACAAAAAGGACATTGTCCCGATTCTGCCGTTGAGAACCATGGGTTTCCTGCACCCGAGTGCAGAAGTGCACATCCAGGCGTCAGAAGAATGGGATGCATGCTCCGGTACGTAATTAACTTACACCTCAAGTATTCTGGAGAATTCGAATCCTAATATGCTCTGTGGGGATATATTATAGGTCAGGAAAATCCGTCGAAGTTGTGCACAGATGGTGATGTGCCCAATATTCTTGAAGCGGATATTCCAGACCATGATGGGCCATATGACGGTGTTATCATAGGCTGTTAGATGAACCCATGTGTATATGCATGTCTTCCCCTTTGGTGACTTGTTTGGGCTATTTGTTAATAGTGAAAAACTGTAGCGGTATAGGTTGAGATTGCTAAATAAATGGATTTTGTGCCGGGCTATCTGTGATTGAAGTAGAAATGCTTGCTTTACCGCATTGAAGGCTTTCTGTACCGAAATTCTATTGATACTATCAACTTTAACACTGCAAAATGACAACACTTGTTCAAACGTAAGAAAACGTCAAATTCATCTGTGACAACGACCTTGCTCATAGTTAGATTTACTCAGCAAGCGATAAGAACACTATCAAAAATTCCACAATGGTTGGTAATATCCGCGTCAGCTAAAGTAGGCACGGCGCCATCAGAGCAAAACAATGAAGGATTTTCCTGACCTATTCAAGTAAAGCACGTCAAGAACCCAATTCTTAAATAAAGACCTCCGAGCCAGGACAAAAAATGACATACCGGCGCACGAGTCCCACTCCCCGGATTCTTGAACATGTACCTCGCCGCTCGGATGGTGAAACCCCCAATCCCTGCATGGGATTAAAGGGACAGGGTCTTGTCTGTAGTTAAGACGGCTAAGTCCCATCATACCATCAACCTGACTCGCAACATGGGCATCAATGTAATCCGCAAATGCCTGGTTACCGACACGCGGTGGACAATACGCAACAGTCTTGAAGTTCG